GCGGGAAATGCTGGGGCAGAGCAGCTCGCAGGAGGCTGTCGCTGCCAGGGCCAAGATTTTACTCTAATTAACCACAGCCAGTGGCTGCCTGTAAGCCCTCAAACTGACCATCTGGTAATCAGCTCCTTAATTAACCTAGATATTAATTAATTTTCACTTCGAGAGCGCCAGCCCAGCGCAATTCCAGTGGGGACTGTGGCCTCAGTGGTTGTGGGGGCGGCCCCGGCCCCGGCCCCGGCCGCCGGGAGTGGCATCCACGGAGGAACGTGGGTTCTTGATGGTCTCGTCCACGGACACGATGAGGCAGGCGGCCTCGGACGCGGCTGTCAGCGCGTTGATGCGCACGATGGCAGGTTCCCACACGCAGGCCTCGAAGTTGTCGGCGATGTCCTCGTTGTTGACATCCACACCGTACCACATCCCGCCCTGAGGGGACAGAGAGGGGACAGGGATGGATTATGGGGCTGGGCAGAACTTTAGGGACAGAGCACCAGGAAGAAAAGACACAAAAGCCTTGTCTTGTGAGACCCCACCTGGAGTACTGCACAGAGTTCTGGTGTCCCAAGCATAAGAAGGACATGGAACTGTTGGAGCAAGTCCAGAGGAGACCCCAAAGCTAGTAAGAGGACTGGAGCACCTTCCCTATGACGACAGGCTGAGAGAGTTGGGGCTGTTCAGCCTGGAGAAGAGAAGGTTGTGTGGAAACCTCTGAGCAACCTGCCAGGATCTGAAGGGGCTCCAGAGAAGCTGGAGAGTTCCTTCATTAGGAACTGAGAGCTCCTTCATTAGGAACTGGAGTGATATGACAAGGAATAATGGGTACAAATTGAAAGAGGGGAAATTAGGATTAGATACTAGGAAAATGTTTTTCCCTGTGAGGGTGGTGAGACACTGGCACAGGTTGCCTGGGGAGGCTGTGGCTGCCCCAACCCTGGCAGTGTTCAAAGCCTTGATCACCCTGGTGTGGTGGGAGGTGTCCCTGTCCAGGGCAGGGGGGTGGGACTGGATGATCTCTAAGGTCCATGCCAACCCCTTAACATACTATGATACTATGAAAACATTCCAGGAGAGGCAGAGGCTGCTCCTTGTTGTATGAATATTTGAAGCAATCACACTAAAAAGAAAAAAAAAAAAAAAAAAA